ACTTGACACTTGTAAACGTGCCTAATCGCTTGTAAAAGCCTTAGATAATTTTACAAGTATCAGGCGGTTTTTCTGCTGCCAGAGGACGGCTTCTAGGAGAGTTTTTCTGACGTCCTGCGTGCGTGAGACCTTAAAGGAGATCGGTAAAGAAATAAACTTACCAAGCTGGGCGAACACTTCTGCCGCCTCCACTCCATACACTCTTATCATTGGTCTGTTGTCCGCTATGGAGATGGTCGGGGTCAGCTCATATGCTCTCCTCTCTGCAGTGACTGCATTCGGTCCCATCTGTTGCTTCAGCATACATGACAAATTCTCCGCCATCCAGCACACACTTACATGAGTTGACCAGGGCTGACTTCCCAAACCCGGGATAACCCACCAGCTGCAGGACAACGCGCTGATACCCCTGATTACCATGGGGGAAAGTATCCAGGCTGAAGCTGCGGATATAATTTCTCATCTCTTCCAGGGACCTCTGAAGATCTGCCATGTTTTCTGGAGAGTTCTAATACAGAAATCAGGAGATCAGAAGTGAAACTGCGCAGAAGAATGTGCAGGGACCTAAGTCCAGCAACCCACACCCTGGAATCTAACAGGAACAACAGGAAGAATGTGCAGGGACCTAAGTCCAGCAACCCACACCCTGGAATCTAACAGGAACAGAAGAATGTGGCTATGTGTTCTTTAACCTCCCTGTCGGTCTGATTATGTCAGGATTTCTGTGCTCAAAGCGGTACATTAATTTCAATGGAAATTTGTTTTTTTATTGTAGGCCTGTAATTCTTAGGAATAACTCACTGAAATCTGTCCGGACAAGAGTCTAGTAAACATCCCGGGGATGATAAAATTTGAAACACGAAATCATAAATTATAATATTATAAATAATCATAGAAAAAAAAATATAATAATAATAAAAAATTTAAGTCAATAATATAATCAAACCAAAAACACTGAAATGTGAAATAGAGCGCCAAGTTCTCACATCGCTGAGCTCAGTCGCAGAATCGTTTTCAGTGTCTGATGAGGAATTTCCCCCACCAATCATTATCACTCAATTCTGCAAGTGGTTCTGATTTACTATCGCTGTTCTCTAGCCGGTCTAAAACCGCGTGTCTGACCTAAAGGGGCGCTTTTTGGACGCCATGGACGTTTCTCAGTTTCCAGGCAGAAAGAACAGTAAAAATGCAGGCAGGGCGCCGGACAAAGCACTCGGGACAAAATGTATGTGAAATGGTTTGATACAGGAATGTTATACTATGTGATTTTACTGTATTTAGTGAATGTAAAACTTTGACATTTTTGAATTTCCCGCCGTTTCATCCCCCGTACGTCCCGACGTCGCAGGGACCGGAACCCACAAGACGGATGCCGGCATCGGTCGGAGGAGATGGCCGGGGACACTGCAGGGGGGACATCGTGGGAGCGCAGGACAAGGTAAGTGATACAGGGATCCCGGAGCAACGCTGCAGTGTATTCCCGAGTGTAGCTCAGCGTTACCGCTTCTGATACTGAAACTTTACCCCGAGCTACACTCAGGAACACCACCAGGGGGGTAAAGGCCACTGTGCACTTCCATCCAGACCATTTTTTTTATTTATTTCAGGTACTTATATAGAGCCATCAATGTACGCAGTACATATATATTGTACATTCACATCAGTCCCTAACCCTCAAGGGGGGTACAATCTAAGGTCCCTAACTCACATTCATACATACACATATTAGGGACAATTTAGACAGGACACAATTCATCTACCAGCATGTCTTTGAAGTGTGGGAGGAAACTGGAGTACCTGGAGGAAACCCACACAGGCACAGGGAGAACATGCAAACTCCAGGCAGGCTGTGACGTGGTTGGGATGTGAGCCAACAACCCTAGTGCATGTCAGGCAGAAGTGCTAACCATTTAGCCACTGTGCCGCCCCATTTATTGTACTGTAAACCGAAACGGCTTCATTAACATACACATGTAGGGACAATCTGCTTCGTTCACACCTGCAGCAGGTGGTTGAGGCCAAGGTTTTACCACCCTCCAACCATCAATCTGAACCTGGGCATGCAACCACTTAGGGCTGTACACAGGCCGTATCTGTGATGCTGCACTCTTAGAGGGCACTGCACATGTGAATGAGCCCTTACAGAGTTCTCTGTCATGGGTGGAGAGTGCAAAATCTGCTGCAGCGGTGCATGGCAGCCAATCAGCTTCTAACTTCAGTTTGTGCAATAAAGCTTTGACACAAAAGCCTGGAAGCTGATTGGTTTCTATGCAGAGATGCACCACAATTTGCACTCTCAAGTTTTAGTAAATCAAGAAGAGGAGGGCGCTTGAGCACTCTTGTAGTTCATTGACTCTTCCTGCCATTCAGGAACTGCCTGCCCATACAGGAGGTACAGGCAGACAGGTTTCTTAGTGTCTGCAGGATCCTGGCATTGCACCTGTGATCTGATGACTGCGGGTACAAGGCCCTACAGACTGCAGAATAAAAATAATCAATGCACATTTTTTTTTACCTACAAAAAGATACGTATTTATTATTTTTACAAAAGGCAAGCTTATACCTTATTTGGAGAGAATCCCCTTGAAGTTTAGGGATCAAGCCTGGCTTGCTTTCCATGGAAGGCTCTATGTGAGAGGAACCTGAAGCACCGCCCTGTGGATGATCGGGATTGTCCTAGAGCGCAGTGTGTTGGTAAAGTGCAGTCTATGGACCACTTTTTGCTTCAGTGTCCCATTAACATAGAGATGTATAAAAGGGTGGGGAGGGTTCTAGGCATCTCCTTCCTTTATCTCATGAGTTATGCGAAGTAGGTGTAGCGGGCATTCCTGACTCGATGGAATTTTGATTTGGACACACTTTCTAGTTAGTATAGTTGTCTGTTGCTTCATGTAGAATGCACAGTGACAGATTACCATGTGGCAGAATTATCTCCCTGTTGAGGTGGTGGTGCCCGATATTCTGGGTGAGGTTGGGAAGATTCAAAGCTCTGAGAGGGCAGGGAGCCTCACGCAGTCTGAATGAAGGCGTGGAGGAATATCAGACCTAATGGTAACTATCTCAGGAGGGGCTCTTTTTCTGTTCTTTTCACTCCTTTGTTCTTGGAGGTCAGTGAGAAGAATGTTCTTTACATTGGTGGTCAGTGGGAAGAATGTTCTTTACATTGGTGGTCAGTGGGAAGAATGTCCCTTACATTGGGGTCAGTGGGAAGAATGTCCCTTACAGTGGTGGTCAGTGGGAAGAATGTCCCCTTTACATTGGGGGTCAGTGGGAAGAATGTCCCTTACATTGGGTGTCAGTGGGAAGAATGTCCCTTACATTGGTGGTCAGTGGGAAGAATGTCCCTTACATTGGTGGGTGGTCAGTGGGAAGAATGTCCCTTACAGTGGTGGTCAGTGGGAAGAATGTCCCTTACATTGGGGTCAGTGGGAAGAATGTCCCTTACATTGGTGGTCAGTGGGAAGAATGTCCCTTACATTGGTGGGTCAGTGGGAAGAATGTCCCTTACATTGGGGGTCAGTGGGAAGAATGTCCCTTACATTGGTGGTCAGTGGGAAGAATGTCCCTTACATTGGTGGTCAGTGGGAAGAATGTCCCTTACATTGGTGGTCAGTGGGAAGAATGTCCCTTACATTGGGGGTCAGTGGGAAAAATGTCCCTTACATTGGTGGTCAGTGGGAAGAATGTCCCTTACATTGGTGGTCAGTGGGAAGAATGTCCCTTACATTGGGGGTCAGTGGGAAGAATGTCCCTTACACTGGTGGTCAGTGGGAAGAATGTCCCTTACATTGGGGGTCAGTGGGAAGAATGTCTCTTACATTGGAGGTCAGTGGGAAGAATGTCCCTTACATTGGGGGTCAGTGGGAAAAATGTCCCTTACATTGGTGGTCAGTGGGAAGAATGTCCCTTACATTGGTGGTCAGTGGGAAGAATGTCCCTTACATTGGGGGGTCAGTGGGAAGAATGTCCTTACACTGGTGGTCAGTGGGAAGAATGTCCCTTACATTGGGGGTCAGTGGGTGGAATGTCCCTTACATTGGAGGTCAGTGGGAAGAATGTCCCTTACATTGGGGGTCAGTGGGAAGAATGTCCCTTACATTGGTGTCAGTGGGAAGAATGTCCCTTACATTGGTGGTCAGTGGGAAGAATGTCTCTTACATTGGTGGTCAGTGGGAAGAATGTCCCTTACATTGGTGGTCAGTGGGAAGAATGTCCTTTACATTGGTGGTTAGTGGGAAGAATGTCCCTTACATTGGGGGTCAGTGGGAAGAATGTCCCTTACATTGGTGGTCAGTGGGAAGAATGTCTCTTACAGTGGTGGTCAGTGGGAAGAATGTCCCTTACATTGGTGGTCAGTGGGAAGAATGTCTCATTACAGTGGTGGTCAGTGGGAAGAATGTCCCTTACATTGGTGGTCAGTGGGAAGAATGTCCCTTACATGGTGGTCAGTGGGAAGAAGAATGTCTTACATTGGTGGTCAGTGGGAAGAATGTCCCTTACATTCAGTGGGAAGAATGTCCCTTACATTGGTGGTCAGTGGGAAGAATGTCCCTTACATTGGTGGTCAGTGGGAAGAATGTCCCTTACATTGGTGGTCAGTGGGAAGAATGTCTCTTACACTGATGGTCAGTGGGAAGAATGCTCCTCACATGAGTAGCTGAACCATCCATACAATGTTGGTCGGTGAGGAGAGATCCCCTCTTACATACAGCTGAAAAGATCATTGGTTCAGATGTTACTTATATGAAAGGCAAACAATTCCCTTTGCAGTACACAAGACACTCACAATCTCTGACAGCTTTCAATCACATTTCATTTAATGGCTGTATGTGATAAATGGATACACAAAACTGTTACATATTTATATTCTGTATATGCATGAAAATGATTATATTTTTTTCCAACAATTGGAAAATGTAAATATATTTCTGAAAAGTGTGCAGCTTCATTGATAACTTGTAAAGACAAATAAAAGGTTACATGTGAATAGAAAGCTAACTGTTGACCAGGACAGGGCCTCCAGCCTGTTGAAAGCCTAGACCAGGAGTGTGCAGCACATAGACTTGAATTCAGCCCTAATTCCATCAATTATTCCTCTGAATCCATGGCCAGCTTCCATTGGGTAGAAGCATCTAAAATGTTGAAGTCATTGTCTCTGTGTGTATAGTTTGTGATTTATTATGTACACGGATGCCACCATTATATGGGCAGATCATGCCACCAATGGTTGTCCTGCATTGATAGACTTTTGGGGTGTCTATCTACAACTGCTTGGCAAGGAAGGCAAATGATTGATAAAGGGCCACTAGAATCAGAAGACTACAGACCACCACATGTAATATCAGCATGTAAAACATGGAACAGCAATCATGTTACATGCAAACGTTACATTAAAGTCGGGTTCTGACACATTCAACAAAGACAGGAACCTTGTGCTCAGTAAAAACTCTATAGAAGGAGAACCTGTAGTGGAATCTCAGAACGGTTTCCAATTTGTGAATTATTTTTGATGATCTGAACAGTTTTCTTTGAATGGGGATTACTGAGGGGTTCCATTTCATCAGACCTAATATGAGGAAGCACCGGACCCAAGGATGGGCAAAAAAAAGGCAGTCCTCTGTCAACCAGGATATCCGTGAGGGTCCCTGGAGAAAAAAAGAGCAGTATGTAAAGGATGAGGGCACCAGAGGTGGCCCCCGAAATGCGTTGGCTTTATCCTCGTGTTGTCAAGATAAACATTCATTGAACTCTTTATATAGTGGCACTTTCATCCTTTACTGTACTGTAGAAGGGCCCATTCACACGGGAAAGCTTTGCTCTCTAGCTCTCTTGTCACCTCCTCCCACGCTTGCCTCCAGGACTTCTCCAGAACCTCTCCCATCCTCTGGAACTCCCTACCCCAGTATGTCCGGTCTGCTTCCACCCTGTCTGCCTCTAGCTGGACTTTGAAAACTCACTTATTCAGGGAAGCCTACCCCACCTCCACCTAAGAACTGCACTGAATCACCTCCACCAGATCATCCCCCGCAGCTACTGCCTTTTGTATCCCCCCCCTTCCTTTAGATTGTAAGCTCCATGAGCTGGGACCTCCTATTCCTTCTGTATTGGACTGTATTGGAATTGTACGGTTCCCCTTTATATTGTAAAGTGCTGCGTAAACTGGAGCTCTACAAATCCTGTATGATAATAATAATAATGGGGTCCTGTGCAGGTCCATGTTGTTGGTGGAGAAAAGGTCTCGTGGTGGAGTGGAGTTCTGGAGGCTGTAAAGAAGGGTCTAGGATCCCTAAAATTTCTAGAAGGCGTGTATTTCACCAGAATCTGGTGAGTGCGGTATATGTTGGTTGGAGCACTTGTTCATGGTGGAAGCACAATTTTGTTTTATACTGCTAGTGGACCTGAGGAAATAGAGTTACCCACCACCTATGGATACAATGTAGAGAATGCATACATCAACCATGGGATCCTCCATCTAGGAGGATCAGAATGGACAGTGTAGGATTCCACTGTCATAGCAGAGTTTAAAGCGCTAGTAACGTCCGCTTTGTGATTTTTACCTATAGGGAAACTTATAATAAGACTTACCTGTAGGCAGGGGCAACTGACAACTCATGGGGCCCCCGGGCAATAGGGGATCATGGGGCCCCTGTGTCCTTGCCCAAACTCAAAAAAGCCTATTAAAAAGGTACCAGGGGCATCTCATGGGGCCCCCTACTGACCCCGGGCCCTCCAAATGGTCAGTCCGCCCCTGCCTGTAGGTAAAATGAATATTTCCTAAACATGAACTGTTTAGGAAATATTCGCTCTTCTTGGCAGCTGGCACATGCGCTCTGAAGGAATGGCATACCCATCCCGTTCCTTCAGAGCGTAATGTGCCGTGGCCCGTTACTTCCACACGCGTGTGCTGCTCGGCCAGTCAGATGGACGGAGCTCACGAACCTGGAAGGAAGACCGGGTGAAGATGGAAACCCTGGCAGTGGTGACAGCGCACCGTTGGAGGGCTTTGTTCTAACATAACTTATACCATTGCCTTGAAGAGGATTTTTTTTTGTTTTGTTTTTAAGCTGCGGTTTTCTACTGCTTTAACGCCTTTGGGGTTTTTTTTTTCCTGCCATTAACACTGCCTCATCCACCTTCTTCTCAACCTCCACATCATGCATAAACTTTAGGAGAAACTTCTTCCTCTCCAGTCGCTCTCTCCTCATATCATGTTGGTGGGACATATAATAGGCGACATTTTGCAGAGTGCTGTAGAGAAATGTCAGTATGTCAATGTCCTTCTCCTGGGTCCTCTGCTTATCTTCTGTGGTATAATTCTCCATCGATATGACTTGCTCGGCTCCCATCGCTCTGAACATCTCCACTTCAGAAGTAGCCTGACTTGCTTTGCAAGTGATGGCTACAATAGGAGTAAAGCCTAAGACACACAAAGAAGCAGATAGATGTTACAAATGTACATAGTCACGTTTAAAAAACACATCCTTCAAGTTCAACCAAAATTCTAAAAAACAGCTGCTCAGAACTAGTGCCAGGATTAGGTGCCAGGATTAGGTGCCAGGATTAGGTCCTAGGCCTGGTGGTGCTTGCACATGCTCCACCTACTTTTGCCAGGTCAGTGCTGGGTGCAGAAATGACAATTGCTGTCCAGCTGCACTAGAGTTACCGCTCTGGGGGAAGAAACAAAGGGAGGAAGGAAGGAAGGAAGTTAAGGAAAGTAAGATGTCCACAGAGCCTCCCTTACATTAGAGTACTTACTGGGAGGCAGGATAGAGCAGGGAGGGGTGGAATAGATGGATGGACTGGCAGGCTGCACCATTCCTCTTCTGGTCTTCAAACTTCCCACCCACACATCTCCTTCTCTGAAGCACAAGACTACTGGGAAGTGTGGGCAGGGCAGACACAGGAGGAGGGGTGGGAGGAAGAGCAGAATCATCTCTCTCTCCTCTCCCATGGAAGGGGAGGGGGGAACTGTCAGTGCTGGCTCTGGGCTCTCAGCTCAGAGCCCTGCCACCACTGGGGATGGAGGGGGTGGCAAAGAGAATGGGGGAGAGGGGGCAGCAGAAGGAAGCTCTTCATGTTCCTCCTGCAGCCATTGAATGTTCACCTCTCCTCCTCTCCCTCTCGCAGGCATTCAGCAGCTGCAAGGAGAATATGAAGAAATGGATTTCTCTCTATGCAGCTGCCCTGCTGCTCCTCCTATCCAGGCATACAGGGGGCCCACACAGACCCCTGCAGCATGGGGCCAGGTCACAACTGTGACCCCTGCGACCCCTGCAGCTTCAATCCCTGATGCGCACAGTGAAACAGTCAAGATTTCATTAACATTATAATAACCAAAATTTGCTCTTCACTCTGGAAACAAACGTAGTGCAGAACTTTTCCAAAATGCTAATTTTATTCTGTGATTTTCCACTCTTATAAAAGTACTATAATTGTGTTTTATAGAAAATATGGTGAAGGTAACCCTGTTGCAATATACTTCCTTTCCTCAGCACTGTCCACCCAGACTCCCCACTCTACATTTCAGCATTGATCCCTTCCAGGTTGCAGAATACTCAGCACTGTCCAACTGACTTTCTTTGAGCCCAGTCCATTATGGACCTGACATAGTCCAGGCTCACAATACTCCTGGACTGGGTGGTGTTTGTATCATTACGGGATGTGAGCACAGAGCTGTCCAAGAATAAAGACCACCCAACCTCGCCATCCGAGGAGAAGAAGGACTCAAGACACCACTTGCCTGGACATAGACTGCAGGAGTTATGCAGATATCATGTTTTCAAGTGTGTGGGGGAGTAAAAGCCTCGTACACACGATGGGAATATCGGATGAATGATTGTTGTTTTTTTAATTTTTTTTGCATGCTATTCTCTCTATTGAAAATTAAAGGCTACTAAATTTTATGAAAATTCTCGTACAACAAAATACAACTTTGGAAGTGATGTAATGTATTTGTACTGTATTTTCAAATAATTACTGTACTGATTAAATGAAAATACCAGATCATACGAGAAAAATGTTTGTGTTTGTCCCTTCGGATAATTCAGAATGAACTGCCGTGATCAGCTCTCGAAAGCTGTGTACTAACGAGCAGATAGCAGATAGCCGTAACCTCCGCAACCTGAACCCGGCCCCTCTCCACTCTGCAGCTACCCGTCTGTACGACAGTATCCTTCCACTGTCATGCCCTGACCTGGCCACTACTGCGTACAACGACTCGCTGTCAGCTGCCCTAGACTCCTTAGCACCCCTAACCACACGTAACATTAGACCCCGACCGCTTCAACCCTGGCAGAACAACCACACTAAAAATCTTAAACGACGCAGTCGCACGCTGGAGCGATTATGGCGCAAAACCAAATCCCCTCGAGCGTTCTCCCTCTACAAATCCGCCTTCCTCACCTACACCTCCTCCCTCCATGCCACCAAACAAGCCTACTTCATAACCCTCATCAACACCCTCTCCACCTGTCCTCGCTGGCTCTTCTCCACTTTCAACTCCCTACTCTCCCCCCCCCCCCCCCACCCAGTACCTCACTCACTGCCCACGAGATTGCCAATCACTTCCAAAATAAGATCGACGCAATCCGTAAGGACATCGTCAATGCTCAACCTACCTTCCCACCTAGCCTCCCTCCCACCATAACCCCACCAACTCTCCCCTCCTCTGACCTCGCAACCACCCTACCCCCCCACCACACCTAACGTCCCGCATACTATAACCTCCCCAACACTCCGCTCCTTCAGCCTTGCTACCACTGAGGAGGTCACTAAGGTCTTCTCTGAAGCCCGCCTCACCACACTGCCCCCTTGACCCTGTTCCCACACAACTCCTCCGGGCACCCTCCTCCTCCATCCTACGCTCCCTCACCCACATCTTCAATCTCTCTCTCTCTACTGGCGCATTCCCCTCCCCCCTAAAGCACGCGTACATCACCCCCATACTCAAAAAACCCTCCCTGGACCCCACCGACCTGAACAACCTTAGACCCATCTCCCTGCTGCCATTTACTTCCAAGCTCCTTGAGCGCTTAGTCTACAATCGCCTATGCGCCCACCTCACTGACAACAACCTCCTCGATCCACTACAGTCTGGCTTCTGTCCCCTACACTCCACCGAAACCGCCCTACTCAAAATCATTAATGACCTGCTAACCGCCAAAGCTAATGGCCACTACTCAGTCCTCCTACTCCTCGACCTTCCCGCGGCCTTCGACACAGTCGACCACCCCCTCCTCCTTAACAAACTACACTCCCTCTGCATCAGAGACTCCGCTCTCTCCTGGCTCTCCTCCTATCTATCATAACGCTCCTTCAGTGTTACCTATAATGCTACCACCTCCCCCTCTCTCCCCCTCTCTGTTGGGGTCCCCCAAACCTCTGTCCTCGGGCCCCTTCTCTTCTCCATCTACACCTCCTCCCTTGGCAAACTGATACACTCCCACGGCTTCAACTATCACCTCTACGCCGATGACACGCAAATTTACCTCTCCACCCCTCGCCTCACCCCTTCAGTCTCCGCCCATATCACCCACCTCCTAAACGAACATATCAGACTGGATGTCACTCCATTTCCTCAAATTGAACCTTTCCAAAACCGAGCTCCTGATTTTCCCCCCAGCTTCTGCCCCCCCCCCTCACCCTCTCCATCATGACCAACAACGCCATTATCAGTCCCACCCCACAAGCCAAAGTCCTGAGTGTCACTCTAGACCCAAACCTGTCCTTCCAACCCCATGTCCAATTGTTGGCAAACTCATGCAGGCTCCACCCCCCGCAACCAACATCTCCAAAATACGTTCGTTCCTAACCCCAGACACTACTAAACAACTCACTCACTCCCTTATTATCTCCCGTCTGGACTACTGCAACTCCCTTCTCACCGGCCTCATCACAGACTATCCCCGCTTCAGTCTATCCTGAACTCAGCGGCCAGACTCATCCACCTTACCAACCGCTCCGCTTCCGCCACCCCCCCTCTGTCATTCCCTCCACTGGCTTCCGATTGCCCAACGCATTAAATTCGAACTACTAAACACAGACATGCAAAACCATTCATAACGCTGCCCCAAACTACCTCACCGACCTGATACCCAAATACCACCCTACCCGTAATCTTCGCTCCTCACAAGACCTCCTACTTTCTAGCTCCCTGGTCTCCACCTCCCACACCCGACTGCAGGACTTCTCCAGGACTTCCCTCATCCTCTGGAACTCACTACCCCAATCCATCAGACTGTCACCTACCCTCCTCACCTTTAGGCGCACCCTGAAAACCCATCTCTTCAGGGAAGCCTACCCCACCCTCACCTAACTGCCGATCTCCTCCACTCCTCCTACCACTCTATCCCCCACAGCCATTTCCTCCTGTACCACTATCCCCTCCCTCCTAGATTGTAAGCTCGAAAGAGCAGGGCCCTTGACCCCCTCGTGTATTGTATTGTTACTGTATTGTCTCATGTTCTGTCCCCCACTATAATGTACAGCGCTGAGCAAACCTTTTAGCGCTATAAAAATACTGTATAATAATAATAATTATTGTATGATTGATTCAAGATCGATATTTTTTCATATGATCCTACGCTCCCTCACTCACATCTTTAATCTCTCCCCCCCTCCTCCGGCACTTTCCCCTCCCCTCTGAAACATGCACACATCATCCCCATACTTAAAAAGCCCTCCCTGGACCCCAATGACCCGAACAACCTCAGACCCATCTCCCTGCTCCCATTTACATCCAAACTCCTTCAGCGCCTAGTCTACACCCGCCTATGCTCTCACCTCAACGACAACAACCTCCTCGATCCCCTACAGTCCGGCTTCTGTCCCCTACACTCCACCGAAACTGCCTTACTCAAACTCTCCAACGACCTGCTAACCGCCAAAGCTAATGGCCACTATTCAGTGCTCCTACTCCTTGACCTCTCTGCGGCCTTCGACACAGTCGACCACCCCCTCCTCCTCAAAAAACGACACTCCCTCGGCCTCAGAGATTCTGCTCTCTCCTGGCTCTCATCCTACCTGTCACAACGCTCTTTCAGCGTTACCTATAATGCTACCACCTCCCCCTCACTCCCCCTCTCTGTTGGGGTCCCTCAAGGCTCCGTCCTCGGGCCCCTTCTCTTCTCCATGTACACCTCCTCCCTTGGCCAACTCATACACACTCACGGCTTCAACTACCACCTCTATGCCGACGACACGCAAATCTATCTCTCAACCCCCCACCTCACCACCTCAGTCTCCGCCCGAATCACACACCTACTGAGCGACATATCAGACTGGATGTCACTCCACCTCCTTATACTGAACCTCTCCAAAACCGAGTTTCTTGTCTTCCCCCCCCAGCCCGGACACCACCCCCCATTGACTTCTCCATCACATCCAACAACGCCACCACCAAACCCTTCCGGCAGGCCAGAGTACTTGGTGTCATTCTGGACTCCAACCTATCCTTCCAGCCCCAAGTCCAATCTTTAACAAACTCGTGCAGACTCCACCTCCGCAACATACAGACTACCTCCGCAACCCATCAGATTATCACCTACTCTCCTCTCCTTTAGTCACACCCTGAAAACCCATCTCTTCAGGGAAGCCTACCCCACCCCCTGCTAACTTGCCGACCTCCTCCACTCTTCCTACCACTCCCATCCCCCACAGCTATCTCTTCCTGTGCCACCATCCCCTCCCTCTTAGATTGGCCCTCAATCCCCTCATGTTTTGCATTGTATTGGTATTGTTCTGTCACATGTTCTGTCCCCCTCTGTAATGTACAGCGCTGAGCGAACTATCGGCGCTTTATAAATACTGTATAATAATAATAATAATAATCTGATTTTCTGATCGTGTGTACTAGGCTTCAGGGAGTATGTGTTAATAAAAATGAATTATGGTTATTGAGGGTTTAAACTTTGATTTTTCCTATATTTGCTGGAGGGATGGAACTGTCATTATATATACATGAACAATACTCTGATCTGCTCATAACTGGTAATTTATGAATGAAGGCTGCAACCAGGGATAAAGCAGCTTCTTTGTTTTTCCTCGTACTAGTTGTAGGATTGTCAAACAGCTAACCCAGCTCTACAGATGCCTTGGGAGAGCGGTTCAGTTTGCAAAGTAATTTTAGTTTGCAAAATGCATTGCAATATGGAGGACACGTTACAGACTACTCTATGGGGGAGATACACACGTCTCTCTGATTACAGTGATATTACACTCTCTGTTTACCACTTTCAGGAGCTGATTTAATCTATTACTGAGGATGCAGTTTCTTTATATTTATTAATTTGCCTATGTCCCAGTTTAAGCCGGTACCATGACCGCTGCCCCAGGTTTCCTGTTTCAGTGTGGCTCCTTTCTATTTCAGAATCCTATGGAGCCACGCATGCCTGCATCAATTGAAAACACACAGCCTCACAGTCTAGAATGGCTAAGCACTCCCCTGCTTCCCCCTCCCCCCCATCAAAAGAATAGACCACTCTAGACTGCACTGTCCACTGGTAACTCTTTGCTACGAAGAGTTCAGGGAAGCAGCACTAAGAGAGCAGGAGCTAGCAGCACTGATAGTTGGAAAATGTAAATGCTGGGGTAAGATTTTGAACAAATAATTTACTGGCGAATGTATTTTTTTTTTTTGTGCTCAGTGTGTTAGATTAAAAAATGCTGATGAATTAATACTACTGCTCCACGTGTGGCTCCAGAGATGCTCCAGTTTCGCCTCTGGAGCCACCCGTGGGAGTCAGCATCATCCCTGCTTTGTGTCTGATAGTGAAGTTCTGTTCTCACCAGGGGTGGACTGACAACTCATGGGGCCCCCAGGGCAATAGGGGATCATGGGGCCCCTGTGTCCTTGCCCAAACTCAAAAAAGCCTATGAAAAAGGTACCAGGGGCATCTCATGGGGCCCCCTACTGACCCCGGGCCCTCAATAGGGGATCATGGGGCCCCTGTGTCCTTGCCCAAACAAAAAACCTATGAAAAAGGTACCAGAGGCATCTCCTGGGGCCCCCTACTGACCCTGGGCCCTCGGGCAGTGCCCGAGTTTGCAAATGGTCAGTCTGCCCCTGGTTCTCACACATCCTCTGGCCTCTGCATAGAGGCGCTCCACTGACATGTGAGCACCACTCTACCCATGAATCTGTCCCCCCCACTGCCGGCCTCGGAGGGTATATCTACCCTGGAGAAAATACAGATCATTTTATAAAGGTTTATCAAGTGTGAACATCAGGGCTCATGTAAGTGAATTGCACCTCTTTACATTCCTATACATGGTATACCCTGTTAAGCTTTCTACATCGTTTTCTTCCTTTTTCTGAGATTGTAGGAAGGTGCAGTTTACTTTCTTTCCTGCAGGTGGTGCTATTCCACAGCAGCACTGTAGCTGGAGAGGAAGTCAGGAGCAACATGGTTCCTCTATGGTTTCCTGGGTCACTGGGGAAGCAATCCAATTGGATGCTGCCACCCCATGTGACTCAAGCAGCCATCTTGGGTCAGGCAGAGCCTATTTAAGGTCTTGGCTCCCAGCCTTGGCATATATTTTTGGAGTTGGCAGAGTAGGGAAAGGTACCCATCTGTTAGGGACAATAGTAGCGGTAGGGAGAGGTTCCTGATGAGGAGGGAAAGCATAGGGTTGCAAATCTTCTGGACACCTTTCCTGGTTGGGTAATAGACAGCCAGGACGCATTTTCTCCACTCTCAACAGATGCTGTCAGTCTGGCTGGAATCTGCTTAGTCCACGTGGCTGGAAATTGTGAGCGCACCCGGCTGGGGGGTAGACTTCCCACCAGCTTTGTTGTGAATCATTACTGCATTACTTCAATACAAGTCCTCTATTGCAGCTGTTTGTGTGAATTATTGCCTCCACACCACGCGGCACCCCACCTAAAAGTTGCTATGTTTTCCCCAGAGTGACAGGTACGTCATGCATTTCATGTACAGTACTACCCCTGGGTTTTATGCCAATGCTGCATGTCTGGTTGAATTGCATGTGGTTCCTCCCCATCCCCTCCCCTATTTTTACCTATCCTTTTGTAGCTACAGTACATCCTAGCCATTCCTCTCCGGCAGGTCACATCAGGCATCACTTCTGCTCAGGGGCAGACTGACAACTCATGGAGCCCCCGGGCATTCGGGGATTACGGAGCCCCTGTGTCCTTGCCCACCCAAACTCAAAAAAGCCTATGAAAAAGGTACCAGGAACATCTCATGGGGCCCCCTACTGACCCCGGGCCCTCGGGCAGTGCCTGAGTTTCCAAATGGTCAGTCCACCTCTGCTTCCACCTGTAGTGCTGGCGAGCTTCCGTCCTTGGCAGATGCGCATGTGCGACAGCGATGACGCACTTCTGGTGTGTCATCCACAACCAACTACCCTCGGTTTGGCATGCCAGGGCGTGTGCGCTTCCACCTGACATGAGGAGCACACATGAGCACTAGTGATGGCGCATTTCCGGTGCGCTGGCTGGTGGCATTAGATTTTGGCTTGCGTTCCAGGTGCCGCCATGTGTCCTCAGGTGGCAATCCTTTCTCCAGCCCATCTAGCACATTTCCACACATCAGTAAGCTGCCACCATCATCATTTGATGACATTTCTAGGAGGAATTCTATATTCTTCATTTTGCAGTAATGTTTCTGCTGTATAGTCTTGTTGGATGCATTTATACGAATGGCATATTACATCACGGCAATTGCATATCGTTTACAACATGCTACATGTCTATTTGCTGCCATTCAGAGACTGATCCACAGTTTTTATCCGGGCAGTTCATCAGCTGGGGCAGTCCCTGGTGGGCCTCCCTTGTCATTTCCACATGAAGGGGGGTGTGGTGATGGCTTTTTTGTGTTACCTCCTCTACAGTATATATGGGGAATCGGCACCTTCAGTTGGTTCAGCGCTAAGGAAGGGAGTCCTCCCGAAACGCGTCAGTTATTCCAACCAGGCAGTGGTTGGGACAGGACTCCATTGTCTGGGACTGAGAGATCGGCTCTTTATCTGTGTTTATGGTTTGCTTGTGAGTATCCATTTGTGACGTATCTTTTAATAAATCTGTTATCATGACGAGGAGAGCGCGCCATCTTGTATTTTTTCTTGACAGTATCTAGATTCCCCCATCTGTGGAGGGCTGCACCTTATCAAGTGAAGGACAATGTGTGATATTGAGGAGCACCAGGATTTATATTTATTTATTTTATGTACTTATATAGCGCCATCAATGTACGCAGCGCTTTACATATATATTGTACATTCACATCAGTCCCTAACCCTCAAGGGGTGTGTACAATCTAAGGTCCCTAACTCACATTCATACATACACATATTAGGGACAATTTAGACAGGAGCCAATTAACCTACCAGCATGTCTTTGGAGTGTGGGAGGAAACCAGAGTACCCAGAGGAAACCCACACAGGCACAGGGAGAACATGCAAACTCCATGCAGGTGGTGCCGTGGTTATGATTCTAACCAATGACCCCAGTACTGCCAGGCAGAAGTGCAAACCCATTTAGCCGCTGTGCTGTTGTTTTTTACATAAATTTATTGACAGGTACATAGGTATGTGTTCTGGGTTCTGCTCTAATACTGTACTTTAGTTTCCAGTGATCCCCTATTGATGCCCAATTCTGTCATTTTTTTTCTGTTTTTTCAGTTCATTTACTACATTTTTTGAAGGAGTATACAAATCATAAGCAAACTGCAATATCAAAAGGTGGAAAATAAAATCCCACAATGCAAGTGGAATACAGCAAGATACCAATGATGAAGATAAAGGTTTCACAATGAAGCACAAAGACCTCTACAACAAGGGCAAGGGATAGAGTGGAAGAGAATGGTCTCAATGTAGCTACAAACTAGCAGATAGTCCATGTGAATGCCCAGCACTCCTTCCTGGATATCTCAATCTACCAGGGACTGGAGGTATTTCTGTCATTTTTCAAGTATCCTAATAATCTGAGTGGAAGCAAGTTACCCCTCCCCCATAACGATGGATTCCTGTTCATCTCTATGGCAGTTATTTTCAGCTCTTGTAACTCCTGTTACTGACAATAATCCTCATTATGGCAAATTACAATTTTTCAGATTAGTGCAGGGGTGGGCAACTGTGGCCCTCCAGCTGTTGGTGAACTACAAGTCCCATCATGCCTCTGCCTTTGGAAGTCATGCTTTAACTGTCAGTTTTGCAATGCCTCATGGGACTTGTAGTTCTACAACAGCTGGAGGGCCACCAGTGACACCCCTGGCTTGGTGGACAGATCATCTCGTAACTGATATATTAAACCCTCTGGCTGGGATTTCTTGTGTAAATCTCACCTGTCATCATTCTGCACTCTTTCAGAAATGTTTTCATCTCCTGTTGGTCATGATGGAGAACTGACATCCACCTCTGCAGATAAAATGAGAAAAAAAGGATATAAGTACAGGTAATTCAGACAATACGGCACATAGATAGACATTTGAATATATATAGTGTGCTGCTGATAATGCAAGAAGCCTATTAAAAGACCCAGCTCAAAAAAAAAAATAAAAATGACTAAAACATTCTTTTTATTGATTGATATTGGTTCCTTTATAATCTAATATATAATATAAAAATAGATGACTGATAGGAGGCCAGTTTCAGAGATCGTACCTAAATATGATAGGAAGAACCTTCTTCATTGGTAGAACACCAGTAGCTTAGTGTTAGGAAGGATTTTACATTAGGGTGTATAATACATGTACAGATACATACAGTATATCAAGGAACCATCCATCTCCTTGGTAACTGTAATCCTTAGGGGAGAGTAAAAAAAAGTCTATAGACATGTTCTGAATTATGCTTTTGGGGTGAGTAGACATCTCCATGATTGGAGGCCTCATCCTGACTTCATACAGTGCCAAGTGTCTTGTGCTTTTACCTCTGCCTCGCTCTGCTGTTATTTGGATCCACTTCTGGCTCCCATAAGATTCTTACGTAGATTTGAACTTGCTCAGAAAATGAAAGCCTTCTTAGGAATTTGGAGGTCCAAGCTGCAGAACCCTGAGCTGGCAAGTGATGGCTCTTGGGCCCAGTGAAGTGTTGCTCATTGTCCTAGCACTACAACATAGGAGGATGGTCCTGTGTTCCCCCACGGGCCTGCTTATAGGGTGGATAGAGCCAGCCCTCCTGTATCAGGCCCAGACCTCATTAGTTCAGCAGAGGGCTCCAAGGCAGAAATGGGACTCTAAGAATTTTCTGGTGCCATGGCTCCCAACAATTAAATTCAAGGTCCAACCCATTCCTCTATATTAATCCACCAGGGCAGGCTGGAACTTTAAATGTAGTTATTGGGAGCCACTGCAAGGATCGTTACTCAACCTACACCTAAAAATTATTAGTCCACTTGCAACCAAAGGTGATTGGAGAGTCCCCTCTGTGCCTCTGGGCCCCCTGCTGAATTGAAGGGACTCTGCGACAGAGAGAGGGCTATTTAAAGCAGACCTTCACTCCCCCCACCCACTTAATTCCACCCACAATTTCACTCTTATGCCCCCCCTCTTCTCTAACAATCAGACATTTTTTTAACCTTCTTTTTTTGAGGAACCCTCCTCACACTTTCATGGTTCTTGTCTGGGTGACTGTGATGTCCACGTTCCCATAGCCTTTCTGATTCTCCAGCTTCTGCTTTTGCCCTGTGATCACTGCCCAGCCGTCTGCAGGTTGAGCCACAGCCTGTCATGCTGCCAGGGGCGGACTGACCATTTGGAAACTCGGGCACTGCCCGAGGGCCCAGGGTCAGTAGGGGGCCCCATGAGATGCCCCTGGTACCTTTTTCATAGGCTTTTTTGAGTTTGGGCAAGGACACAGGGGCCCCATGATCCCCTGGGGTCAGTAGGGGGCCCATGAGATGCCCCTGGTACCTTTTTCATAGGCTTTTTTGAGTTTGGGCAGGACACAGGGGCCCCATGATCCCCTATTGCCTGGGGGCCCCATGAGTTGTCAGTCCGCCCCTGTATGCTGTTCTTCTTCAGCATCACCACCACTTTCCAGCTGGCAGCAACAGCTAAAAGAGCTGGTGGGACAGTTAGCAATGTCACCAGCAATGACGGGGTATTTGTGTGTATAGCGTGTGTACTGTATGTGTGCGTGTGTGTTTGTGTGTATAGGTTGTATGGCTGTGCACTGTAAAAGGCGATGGTGTTGAAATAATGGTGAGGTAGGGTGTGCTTTGTGCTGGGATGTACATATAATTCTGACCTGAACTTTGTACATTACAAACATCTGACATCTACACTCTGTATGTTACATACGCCTATCCCCTGCACTATGTACATTACACACGCCTGCATGCTTTCCATTGTGTTTTCTCCTGACCCCTGCACTATGTACATTACATACAACTGACCCCTGTGCTCTATATGTTGCATACAACTGACCCATGCACCTTGTATGTTACATACTCCTGACCCCTGCACAATTTACATTACACAAACCTGATTCCTGCATTCTGTACATTACATTCTTGACCCATGCACTCTGTACATTATTTTTACTCTTGACTCCTGCAATAAGTGCATTACATATATCTGACCCCCTGCACTTAGTATGTTGCATACTCCTGACCCCTGCACTATGTACATTACATACAACTGACACCTGTGCTCTGTACATTACACACACACCTGATCCCTGTGCTCTGTACAATACATACAATTGCCCCTGCAGCCTGTATGTTACAAACTCCTAACCTTTGCATGATTTACTTGCACACACCTGACCCCTATACTCTGTACATTTTATTCTTGACCCCTGCACTCCGTACATTACATTTACTCCTGCCCCTACACCGAGTACATTACATATATCTGACCCCCTGCACTCAGTATGTTACATACTCTTGACACTATTTACAATACAAACCCTGACCCCTGTGCTCTGTACATTACATACAACTGATCCCTGCAGCCTGTATGTTACATACTCCTGCCCTCTGCATGATTTACATTACATACACGTGACCCCTGCACTCTGTACGTTACAATCTTGACCCATGCACTCTGTACATTATTTTTACTCCTGACCCTGCACTAGGTATATTACATATATCTCCTGACCCCTGCACTAGGTATTACATATATCTGACCCCCTGCACTAGGTATATTACATATATCTGACCCCCTGCACTAGGTATATTACATATATCTGACCCCCTGCACTAGGTATATTACATATATCTGACCCCTGCACTAGGTATATTTACATATATCTGACCCCCTGCACTAGGTATATTTACATATAAACCCCTGCACTAGGTATATTACATATATC